AAGGAGCCAAAAGTAAGATTAGTGTAAAATAGGCTTAGAATGAACAGACTACATAGTCCGCCGGGTGTGTGGGAGAGTATTTTGACGAATTGAGGCAAATTTTCGCATCCCAGGCATGTATGTAGATAGAGAAGTAGAAGGCGTTGCGATCACCGGAATCATACTCTTACTTGTCTGAGCTTTGGGGCTCTTTCTAGAGTCCATCGTCAGAAATAAAAGGCGTAAACAAAAGACAGGCAACAGTTATGGGACACAAGGGCCAATCAACCGTTATGGGGGGAGGAGGAGGAAGGGGGGGACAGTTAGCCAACAGTGCCATCATTTCGGAGATGCCTGCGCAGCGCGATGTATGCCGGCGTCAGATCGATAAATCGATTGACTGAATTCTCATCTGAGGCCCAGACTTCAATCAATTCACGCCCTGTTTTGTTGCCAGCGTGCGCGATTACGCTCGCAGTTGCGAAATTTTCGAGTAGCTGTTAATGCTCTAAACAGTTTATTCCACCCCAACCGTCCTGTATTCGTAGGTCTGCCTAAACGGACACGACGGGCGTTATTTGAGTTGCATTCTCATACCCAATGGTGGGGCGTTTGTGGCACGCGTAGGTTCAGACTCACGCCTTACCGACCACTTGTAACCTCTTGATCTGAGTTAGGTGGGACGACTATGGCCGCCTGCGTCTGAGCCCGCCCCTGGTCTCGATACTGGACATAGATGGATAAGGGAAGAGAAAATGTGGTAGCCGCAGCACAAGTCTCCTATCACTGAAAACTGATCCACACGCAAGTGACCATCCCTGCAGCACGCTGCTGTGAAGTGCACTGTGGACCCCGTCGAACTGTTGCAGGACCTGCGATGCATAAAAACTACGAATTCGCCGCCGTTAGTCAGTCCATTTTAGCACTGCGCCCATCTCACCTCAGGCGACCGATCAGCTAGGCGGTGGCCTGTTGCTGACGCTAGGGAAATGAGTGAGGTCGACCCTTAACGCATATCTTTCCCCACTTACATAACATTCGGATTCGCTTGAAGCTATTAAGGTGTACTAAAAGCCGTGGCTTGGAGGGTTTCCAATTTACGGGATAACTAGGACGCCACAGTCAGTCCAGTGTGTGTGTCTTGTTGTGTGGAGTGGCTGACTGACGGGCTGAGAGTCAGGCTGCAATGGCTTCTTCTTACTGTGGCCTTTAAGGTGCTCCCGCGCATGCGAACGCTTAACTAGCAAGGTGGTGTTGTTGTGGCGCTTGTTCAAGTGTGTTTCGTACATACCGCCCACGCTCTCCCCCATCTCCGGTCTTCTTGACTTTATCTTGACATCGGATACAGGTGTGGGAGTAGTGACAGAGTGGAGTAGATCCTATGCGTCTACTCTCACCATAATACAGCTACAGTCAGCGCGTCTGCTCTCAGCTTCCCCAAGCTCGTGGTGGACATCGTTTAGAACGACGGTCAAACTGTCGTGTGTGTGTGTGTGTGTGTGT